CAGACCCCTTTGGTGACAGGCTCTTGCAACTCACGCAGCATTAACCAGATGATGAAGGATAATTATTTGTATACTGTGTAGCCAAAACCAACTAGTTTGCCACTAATTCCTATCCAAAACTCCCCAGGAAAGGAGTTTATTCCTATTTACAAGGTGAGTGCCAGCAATGAAAAGAAATGCTCAAGGCCACAGTGGAGAGGAGCAGAGAGGGGGCTCAGAGGCTGAAGGTGCACAACCCATCCCCAGCACCGTGCCCTCCCTTCATCGCTGCTACCTTGCACCCCGTGCATCCTCCAGCATTTTCCATGGGACAGCAGCCCTAACAGGTTCCAAAGGACTTCACCCTCTCCCGGAGGCCAAAGCTGCACTCCTCGCAGCTCTGCTCGGCACGGACCGGTCCCTTGAATATCGGGTATTCAAAGCAGCGCCTGCTCCTTTGTCTCTATCACAACAGCGGGCGTTTGTAAACGCAGGACTCGATTAGTGAGTGAGGACCTTGCCCAGCGCCGCAGCAGGGGACGGTTACGCCACTTCTGGAACCCCGGGGGCTGCTGGAGCCCGCGGCGCGGGGGACACAAAGGGGTTAAGCGCCCCCGCGGCGGGCGGAGCCCCTCCTTCCTTCCCGCCGCCTCCCTCCGCGGAGCGCGCGGGGAAATGCCCAAGTTCTTGTGTTTCCCAAGCTTTTGTAAATCACTACCATGTCTTCCTTTCCCACAGGCGTTGCTTATCCGAACTGTTGACTGAAAATCAATCGCTCTATCTAATGGCTCTGTCACTCTTCTCTGAACGCCTTCCATTTTACATTATCCATCTGGCAACAAAATGTCCCAAACTGAGTGCAGAGTGCAGATGTGGTAGCTCCATAGTTGTTGAAACAGGGATATATTACAAACTATTGTATGTCAGAAGCTAGCTATTCCCAGTTCTTGCTTGGGTCAGTGCTATAAAGATAGGAAGTTATTTGCCACCATCTTCTCCAAACCTTTCCGAGGACACCTTGGTGTATTGAGAGATTTGGGACATAAGCATACCGAAATTGCATCCATTTTCTTTGTCCCATACTTTTTCCTTTTTTTTTCTTTCCCTTTTCCCCTCTTTCCTTCTTTCTTTTCCTTCCCCCTTTTTCTCTTCCCCCTTCCCGCTTTTTTCCTTCCTTCTTTTTCCTTTTTTCCTTCTCCCCTCTTTTTTCATTTTTCTTCCCCTCCCTTTTTTCCTTCCCCTCCTCATTTTTTCCTTCCCCCCTTTTTTCCTTTCCCCCCCTTTTTCTTTTTTTCCTTTTCATCCCCTTTTTTCCTTTCCCCTCCTTTTTTCTTTTTTCCTTTCC